CGCCAATCGGTTTTTGGGGCGCCAATCATTTTTAGCTAGTTAGTTTTTTGTATGGGGCGCCAATCAAAAGAATGCCCAGAAAATGTATTTAGTGACTCATTTTATAATGATATTGATGTGGTATCGAATGCTTTAGATAACGTTATGGCAAGAAATTATATGGATAGTAGATGTTTATTGCTAAATAAGTGTATGATTGATGGAGGTACTTTAGGTACTAAAGGTCATGTTCAGGTAGTTATACCTAATCTTACTGAATCATACGCATCTAGTCGAGATATGGAAAATAAATCAATACCGCTTTGTACCATCAAATCATATCCTAACACTTTAGAACACTGTATTGAATGGGCTTTAGAACAATTTAAATTAAAGTTTAATGAAGTAAATGTAAATGAATCTGTTGATTCTTCTAAATCTGAAGATGATAATGAAGAAAGTGATTTAAATGAGTCTGTGCATTCAAGTAATGACACAACAGAAAATCAAATAGAATTGAAATTAACTAAAGAAAAAGATTTGTTAGTGATTGCTTTAAGCTTATTTAATGATTATTTTACTTTAGCAATTGAAAAATTATTAAAGACATTTCCACCTAATCATAAAACTAAAGAAGGACTTTTATTTTGGAGTCCTCCTAAAAAGTGTCCACAGGTTATACAATTTGATAAGAATGATAATCTTCACATCCATTTTGTTGAATCTACTATGAAGTTATATTCTGAAATGTATAATGTTCCTATATTTAGTGATATTAAGAAATTGATTAATGAATTTAATGATGAAATTTGTGATTGTAATTGGAAAATTGTTAATGAACCAGTAAAGTTATTAGAATTTGACAAAGATTCATATCACTCAGATTTTATTTACACAGTCAGTAATTTAAGAGCAAGAAATTATTCTATTAAAGAAAATTCTAAACACTTTATTACCGGTATTGCTGGTAGAATAATTCCTGCTATAGCTACTACTACAGCTATTGTATCAGGTCTTATTGTATTAGAAATTATCAAATATCTTAATTCTATGATTTGTGAGGTAAATAAAGAAGACTATTTTAAGAATTCATTCCTTGATTTAAATTTACCTTTATTAGCTAGTATTGATCCTATTTCTCCTATTGTTAATAAGTATAATATTAATAACAAAGAAATTAACTTTAACATATGGACTAAATTATATTTTGATGATGTTCAATTAAGTATCTTAATTAAGGAAATAGAATTTAATTTTAAATCAGAAGTTTCTATGATATCAGTTA